AAAGTGGTCTTCCTACTTCCATTGGGTTCTTGTTTTTAATCCATCCCAAACAACTTTTTTACTTGCTCAAGATTGACGAAGAAACATCACACAGAAGTACATGGAAATAAAAAGTACAACTTCTATGGTGTTCTGGCAAAAAAAATTAATACAAAACCACAGATTTTGACTTCCCACAAAAACATCAGCCCTATTAACCTATCCAGTAAAATTGTGTGAAGAAACCAGTTTGCTGTGGGGTTTTTTTAAATATTCTTTGAGCAAAATATTTAGTGACACTGTGAAATAAATCCACTAGATTAAACTACAAACCTGAATGTATTCTGAATACTCAACTAAAATAAACCATCAGCGTTAATTTCCATGTCTATACATCTCTTAGAAATGTTAGATCAGGTGATGAACTTTTTGCACTATTGTGGTGTGTCCTCACATTTCCACAGGTTCACAGGGCTTCCTTTGCAAAACTGGATATATGTGCCATATCTACTATTCACTAAGATTCATGAAAGTACCATAAAAAAACTAGAGACACAATCATTTTTATGCAAACTAGGGATCAAGAGAAAAATCCCTTATAAAATAATTCAAGCAGAAGATGACAGTAGAACATAATTTTTAAGAATAAATTTAAAAATCTAATTTTAGAACAAGCAGTTCCAAAGCCAACACCACTGTCAGTTACCTATGAAACAGTAACTCAAGAAAAACTCTCAAGAAAGGTATTTTACTCTGAGAAATTCTGAAAGCTAACAGTGTTGTGTCGGTTTAAAAAGTTTTGAAATTTTTTTTCAACTTCAAGTTCTCAGTGGACAAATTTATTTTTTAAATGGCTTGAAGCGATCCATCAATGGTGAACGACAGAAACAACCACAAACAACAGAACTAGATAAGAATATTTCATTTACATCACTCATCTATTCTGATAAGTGTAATTTCGGAGATCAGAAGGAATTATACTCATTCCTTTTGAACAGCCCCTTTCTCTCGATATTCACTGTAATACCATGCACTAGACTATCCTCAATAACAGATCCAATTCCTGCAAGTGGTTGTATTAACAGTACAAAAATTCAGCAGAAAATAAACTCCACTCTTCCTGCTTCTTCTCTCCTGTGTAACACTGAGTCTTGGAGAAAAGATCCACAAGCTTTTCTTTCCTTATGCTCCTGGAGAGGCCTCAACAGTTCAACCGTGACAGAAGTAACTGAGGGGAGAAACATGGTCGCAAGTTGGATCTTCAGACATGCTACAGAAGGTGGTAATTTAATGGTGGAATGTAACTAACCAATGCTATTAAAAAAAAGTATTTATCGTTATAATTTACAGATAATTCTCAACATACAACTGAACACAAAAGTGGCCAGCAAACCGTGCTCAGTCTTATGCTGCAGCTGGAAAAAAATAATGTATCAAATTTGCTTTCTTGCTAAAGTAATTCCTTCTACTTCATTCAATGCAGCATCCTGGCTAGTTTTAGGCATGCCAAGAGTGGATAGGTGACCATTGCACATGGGGAACTGATTTCCCCCCACACTATTACTCCCATGAATCCAGTAAGGAGAACAAGTAGACTGAGGACCTCGGCTGGACATTTGGTTCCTTTAGCTCCTGCCTTGAAGGTGCCAATTTGTAAGTACTGGAAGAGCTCACAGGAGACGAGGCGAACTCAGAGCGACACTGATTAACCAGAAAGAGGAGTTCTGGATAAGATGAAGTTTCTAGAGACTGCCCATATGCAAGGACCAAGAAGTTTCCCACACAGTGCAAATGCAGGTATAAAACTGTACCAAAACCTACTGACCTCAACTTGTCATCCAGACTCTGAGAAGCAATGCAGTGATCCCACTCTCAAGGTATGCAAGTCCTTGAGATACAGCAATTGTTCTTCTCCTGTCCACATGTATTTTTTCAATGCTTTTTTAAATTGCGCTAACAGTAAAGTCTTCCTAGGAACAAAGATGTCCTGAATCAAATGTGATATACCACATCTGCCTGATTCTGTTAAATTGCTTCTCAGCTTCATCAGCGCTCATAAACCCAAAAATGGCTGCACTTACTGCTATTGCCAGATCACACTGGAAAATGCTTCTTCTTTGTACCCTTTATCTCTACTACACTTCAGATCCCCTACCCAAAACATAAAGTAATATACTCATGGATACTCTAACCTTCACAAGCTAGTATTTCTTTTTACATTATTGTTTTTCAAGTTATCCAGCTATAACATTGTGATTATGCACTTAAAACTCCACCTGCAGGCTCTTAATTAAGGTGCTATGTATGAATGAATCCTTTTCCCCCCATCTCATAGTTTCCTGACTACTGCTGAGGAAATCAAGTATTTTGCATAAAACCCCAAAATATAAATGAAAAAAAAATATCAATGTTTGCTGCTTATTTTCTCTTTATTGCATGTTCTAAAAAGCATTAGAGAGATACACTTTAAAGTAATACTTCACAGAATTTAGACCTGGACCATATAGTACATACACATTGTTTTGCTAGCTTACCTGATCACTACTTTTGCAATTCTTTGATTCTTTATAAAAACATTTCACTGGGTTTGCCAGTACTCTCCATCACATTCCCCCATTTGCTCAATTATCAAGTCTCAGTCTGCAAACTCTTACAAGTATTTGACTTTTCCAGCAGATTTTATCAAATTATAGTTTTTAAAAAGAGGCATCAGAAGAACTGGACAGGAACAATAAAAGGAAAACTGCTCTCCTGCAGCAGGCAGGAAGAAGCATAAAGTAGGAGCGTGTTCTGTCATGGTGCATTGTCTCCACACCTTCCCCTTCTGCAGGGCTCCCTGCTCCGCTGGCACCATGGCACACTGGCCCAGCAGCACAGGACACCAGCAGGATGCACACCTTGCCTGCACTCCCAGGTTGGAGCACTCTGAACGTGCCTGGCCATGGAAATGGCACCTGAAGCCCAGACTTAAGATCTGGCAGCACAGCCCTTCCCACAGTTTAGCCACCTCAGCTCTGCTGAGAAAAAGGGAAGGAAGGGGCAGGAGCAATCACCAACTATGCCATCTTCTTCACCACTACGTCTCACAGACAGTTAGAGCACTTGATGGGTGACATGGCAGAACCACAAGCCATTAATCACAGCAATATTCTCACATCAGAATGTTTAAATTTACAGCAACACAGGTTTTCAGAGACTCAGTGCCCAGAAATTTAGTGATACTGCCTGTATCATGCTTAATTCCATTCTTCTGCTTGAAAAAGAACTTGGGACTTCAAACAGAAATATGGAAATAAATCTCTTCCTTTCTGAAAATTAAAATAAGTGTTATACCAATCAACACCTCTACGTTATAGCATTATATCACAATTCATAGGGCCCATAGTCAGACCTAGAAATTTAAAATTTCCCAACACTCACTACACATTTTAGGTGTCATGTAATGGTGGGTACAGTCTGCAAAAAGGGAAGCAGTTCATATTTCTTCCCTGAGGCAGGTTTGAAGTATATGTATATGTTTTTAAGAACAGGTTAGACAATATTCAGTATAGATTCATACCCTTTCTAGCTACTCCGCTCCAGTGCTTAAGTACACTTAAAATTTTACCTAAAACCTGACCTAGATATTAATTTTTCCAAATTCAGTTTATTACTTCTTTAATAAAGATACTGAAAGCCATTTCTTTTTGTATCTGTAGCACCTTGCCCCATTTCTTAAGTATACTCTGAGGTAGGTTATTCCTTCCTTTCTTTCTTAACTACTCTCTTTACAAGAATAAACTAGATCTTTCAAAAATAAGGTTTGTTCTTAATTGTCTCATTCTTACTTAGATCCAGCAGGACATTCATCTGTATTTCCAGGTGCTAGCAACTCTTCACTTAGTTGATCTCTCTCCCAAAAGATAGTATTAAACAAATGTACTTTGGCATCTCAATTACTCTGAGCTGTTTCAGTTCCATCTCCTAGTATAACACTCCACTTTCGTTTTCTTCCCGCTTATATGGCCTATCATTCCCTGAACTCTGCTATCTGTAATGTACTTGGCCACCCTTATCTCTTCCAGGCAAGCTTTGAGTGACTACGTATGTCTGGTTGCTTCTCCACACATTAAGATGTTTTTCAGCTGAACTACTAAAATTCCCTACAAGATTATTTTTTAAGCCAATCACTCTTTCATGGAAATCCCCACTATTTGAAAGCTACAATATTCCACATTAGGCTGCAACCTGCTGTTTAACCAGTGAATTGTATCACTTTTCTTTAGCTTGCATGCTGTTGTTTTTTAGGGGTTTTGGGCTTTTTTGAAGGGGACATATGTTCTAATTTGAATACAGACTAGTCCATTGTCTTATTTTCAATAAGAAAACATGAAAACCCTATTATATTAGGTATGAACAATGACTGACATCTTAAAGGCAGAATAAACTGAATTTTTTTTAGTAGGTACCAGAAGGGGTGAAGAGCAAATGTGCTCCAAGAGGAAGGCCACAGAATCAAAGTCGCAAACTTTAACAACAGCAGTAATGGAAATCTACGGTGAAAGTTCCCAAAGCCTGTTTTTACAGACACCAACAAGCATCATTTGGTAGACAAAGATAAACAATGAACACATATGGAGAATGAACCATCTTCCCTCAAATGTCTGATGCCTTCTTGAACTGAAGAAAGGCAACGTTAGTTGACAACAGTAGTCAACAACAGCCCTGCCATCTGAACAACACGTGCTGGGTTTTTTTCAATCCAATCCAAACCCAAGCTTTTTAGTGTTCAATGTGAATGCAAACGGCCCAAGCGCTGTTATTAGCATATGGAATTCTCAAGATTAATCACTCTGAAAAAATGGCAGCAGATCTGAAGCTGGTTTACACTGTCTACAGGAAAACAGCCTAGGCTTGATGCACAGAATAGATAAAGTTTCACATACTCATTAATGCCAGTTATTATAAAGCCTGACCCCATTTGCTTTTGTTAATAGAAACATTCTATGCTTCCACGTTTTATGTGCTACAAATATACTTACATCTTTTGCCATGTTACCAAAGACTAAAAACCAGTCGTCTTAAAATCTCGATGGCTGCAGGACACAGGGACAATGCTATTTTCTGGAAAGCAGAAAGCAAAGACAGCACCAGCTATAAAAAAATGAAAGGAGGGAAAGTTTTTACAATTGAAATTATTGACTACTACCAAGTACAATTTAGGCTTCTTTTTGAAAAAACAACCATGCTTTTAAAAAGGGAAAAGTTTGCCATCATCACCTTTTGGTCCCTCGAGCCCCAGGCTCACGTGTGGGGGGCACTCCTCTCCCGACGGCGGGGGCGAGCCAGCCGTGCCCTGGCAGTGAGAGCCCTTCCCCCAGCCCGCGCCCGATCCCACGCGAGGCCGGTCCCTGTCCAGCTGCGCCCCTTCCAACGCCGAGCGCCGGGCGCGGGCAGCGATCACGGCCTCCTCCTCCCCACCCCCATTTCCAGCAGCAGGCACTAGTAGGCCCCAGGGGCAGCTCCCCCCGGGGCCTTCCAACCCCGCTTTTCTCCTCCTCCTCGCAGGCGGACGGGCCGCGGCCACACCGGGCGGCACAGACCGGCGGCCGCCCCTGCGGCTCGGGCACCCCGCGCCCGCCCGCGCCCCCCGACCGGGGCCTCACCGCCCGGGCAGAGCCCTGAGCCCCGCGCCGCCTCCCCCCGCAGCGAGGGGCCGCGCTAATCGCCTCGGCGGCGGGGGCGCGGGCAAGGGGGGACGCGCCCGGCGGCCGCGGGGGGAAGGGGCGGCGGGCGGAGTGCGGGTCCGCGCCGTCCCCATCCCCATCGCGCCCGACCCGCCGCCGTCCCACGCAACCCCTGGTGCTCCCATCCTCGGGCGCGGGCTGCCCGCACCTGAGCGGCCGAAGGCAGAGAGAGCCGGCTCCATCCCCCGCCGCCGCCCCGAGACAGGGACCCGGAGCGCGGAGCGGGAGCACCCCCCGCCCGCCGCGCTGCTGCCGCCGCTTCTGCTGCTGCCGCTGCGGAGGCGCCCGACTGCACATGTGCGGCGGCTGCGCGGGCCTGGCGGGAGGGGGCAGGGGCGGGGGGAGGCGGCGGGACACCGACATCGGCAGCCCGGGAACAGGGGAGGGAAGCGAGGAGGGAGGAGAGGGTACCGGCAGGGACCGCCTTTCCCCCCCGCGCTCCGGGGGAGGGGGTGCAGGCAGAAGAGGCGGCGGGGCAAGAGGGTCTCCCCCGGCGGGCTGTCACTTCCCAGCGCGCCTCTGCCCCCGCCGGCAGCCGGCCCGCCGGGCTCCCGGCCGGCCGCCCCCGCACGCCGCGGCCCCGCACGCCGCGGCCCCGCACACCTGCCCAGCGCCGCTGCCGCCGAGGGGCTGCCCGCGGGAACGGGGGCGATGCGGGTAAACGAGCGGGGACGAGCGAGCGCAGCGATCCTCCCCTCCAACCCTCCCACGGACCCTGCGCGCGCGACCCCGCCACTCGTCCCTCGTCTCTTCTTTTTTTCTTTTTTATTTTTTCTTTTTTAATAAAATTTAAAAAAAAAATTGAAACTTACACTTTTGTGCGTCCCCCTGACGCTGCGCGCTGACGTCACGGGCGCGGCGCGCCTCGCACGGGCACACACGCGGAGCGGCCAAGCCAACCCGCCCGCCCGCCGCTCCAAGGCGCGGAGGGAGCGGGGCATGGAGCATGCGCGGGATTTTCGCGCCTTCTTCCGACTCCCCGCCCGCCCCGCGGTGCCGAGCGGTGCCCGCGGGCGCGGCCGCGCTGCCGGCGCGGAGCGGGGTCCGGCCGGGCAGGGCCGTGCGGTTTTGTTGCCACAACATCCTGCTGCCGGTGCTTCCTCATCGCGTCTTGTCCGGCCGTTACTCGAGCAAAGTTTCGCTTGCAGCGATCGTTGCTAAAATTAGGGATTTTGTGGTAATCCAAGCGAAAGTTTTCCTTCGGGCGGTTGCAGCTCTTAACCTTGCGCCCAAAAGCAAAGCACCGCGGGCGGTGCAGCCTCTGCGTGCCATGACGACCGCAGAAACAGAGCATGTTAGCGAGGGTTATGTGATAAAATTACATCAGTGTCCTGTAAGTTTTGGGGGCAAAAAAACAACCCCAGAACCTGCAGCGTTGCTGGGGGGCCTGCAGAGGCAGAGCCGTCATAGTGGGAACTGCAGGAAAGCAAGGAAAGCTCAAGAGCCGTGCTCATCACCGCTCACAGGGGTGGATGCAGGGCTGCTCCATGGGCAGGAAGCTATACACAGTTCTGCACGCAAGAGCAAGCCTGCACGGTACAAGGTTGCTCATAACGCAATGAAGAGAGGAGCAGGAAGTAAAAGGCTCGTTCTTTCGCTAAATTCGTGCTGCTTCCTGGGAAAGACGACTAGGTGGGAATAGAACACACGACCACAGAGCCGCTACATTGCAGCAGCAGATAAATCCAGCAGAGAGAATGCTGGAGAAGATGCATTTCACGAGTCTATCAGATTCATGTTCACTTTTATACCTTACTCTGTTTTGGGATTTTTTATAGACGTTCAATTGTTGTGCTTTACCATAATAATGAAACAGTACGTTCATTTTCCTGATAAATAGCAATCTTTGGAGTGTTTTATTAACAATGCCTCTCCCATCTCGCCCTCCCCCCCCCCCCCCCCCCCCCCCCCCCGTGCGCTACTGTAAGGTTATTACCCCATTTCTTCATTCCTCTTGATTAAGATTGATGGGAAAGGCCATCGAAGAAAGAAAGTAATAATGAAATTGTGTTTATAATATTATAACATTTCAGAAAGCAGCAAAAACTTTCACACACAAAACACATAAGCCAGCTGCAGGAAAAAAAAATTGCTTCCTGAAAGACATCTCCAGTTGATAATGCTGCTCTCTACCCTTTAGGTCATATATACTGTGCCCGAGGCTTCAAACCGTCTATGTATCTCACATCCCTATCCACCCACCTCCTGCTCTTTTGTTTTACATTAATTCTTGTAGGAAAAACACTTGCGAGTCAACAGAACAAGCACAAACAAGGAGTGTCCCAGTTCGCTAGAATTTATTTTGATACATGCTAACTGCCCAAACATGCTCAACTGTTAGGTAGTGGTTTGGGTTTTTTTTCTTCTTTAGCCGAGGGTTGTTCGCAACTAATTTGAAGTGTTTGTACCGGTGAAAAAATGTTCAACACTTCTCTAATCTCTGAGCACACCTTTTGCAGGTATTTTGGAGCTTTAGGATTTCGTTTGTGTTGTAGTGGTGGAAGGCTATTCCACTTTACAGTTTTCTGGGAAGTGTCTGTCCCTTTTAAGGGTGAACGAAAATCAGAACAGATCATAACTTTAAAGAGCATCAGTGCGGCAGGACTTCATGACAGACGTGAGAAAATTGTCTCAAGAGGTCATCTAGTCTATAGGCAGAAGGCTTCAACAGATGCCAGAGGAAATGCACATGAATGGGGAGCCATGCAATCTGAACACTGTGATCTGTGCAAACTCATGACTTAATTAAAGACCTCATGTCACCTGACCACCTTGTCAGCATCTGGCCTCTTGGGGAGGTACCATCTCCCAATTCTCAAATTTCTACTCTATTTTAGGAAATAAAAAATACAGCTTGGTACCATAACTGAAATTTTTACTACTCTCTGATACAGGTTTTTCCACAAGGCAGGATCAGCTATCCCTAAGTCACTCTTGTCACAACGTTGTCCAGTTTGTTGTCTCCAGCCAGCAGAAGATTTTCCTAGTCCCACAGTCTTGTAAGTGTCATTAAGTCCACCCCAGCACTGGTAATTACTCAACAGAGGCGGTGGGAGAACCCAAGGAGCAAATCTGGGCGAAGTTGGTAGAGGCATGCTTTTGCCTTCTGCCTTTATGTGTTGAGTGGGCTACACATCTCTGAGCTCTAAGGACATCTCTGTTCTTCCTTCTCCCTGCAGTAGTTTTGTTGGCTCCCTGGTTGTCAGGTCAACGCTGGACCTCTGATACTTTGCTGCTCCTTACAAGCTAATTGCATTTCCCACAAAATAGCAACGCTGTTAGTGTGGCTCGCCTCTTGTCATTCAGGGATCCCGTTTCCTCCACCTTTGGCACTGCCCACATGCTGGAACACTGCCAGGACTGGTTACCGAGCAGAACTATGGATTCCTTCCCTAGACAAACCCCAGGAGTGCTTTTGTGGTTGGATTGTTCCTGGGTTTGTTCCAACAGGCAAGACCACACTAGATTTCTCACCCCCTCTATTAAGCATCATCGTACAGCAATATTTTGTCATACAAGGCACTCCCACATCTTTTTGCCTGCAAAGCTGAGGATGTCCAATCATAAAACAAGTGAAATACAAGCGTTGTGAGGATGCTTTTCCTCATATTTGAGAATGATAGGAAGCATAAATTCTTACAGCTTTTAAAAGGCTGTGCCAAGGACTTAGTCCACCATCACCACATTCTTGAGCCATCCTAGACCTACATCAGCCACAATTTCAGGAAACCACCTCACAGCTCCCACAAATACCTTCCGACTGACAAACTGAAGCTACCCACTCTATATGGGATAAGCCACAAGTAGGGTGGTTGTGGGTCCATATATACTAATCTGACCCCAAGGCCAGGGAAATGGCTCACAAAGCACAGCCCACACTACCAGCTTTTAAACTACTTTGGTTCCTTTATCTTCACAGAATTATCAAGGATAGCAATTAAGGGGCAACACACAAGAACGCAAATTTTCAGAAAGCCATGCCAAATAAGCACAGCTAAATCCACCTACAAAATAAATAAACCAACCCCCCTCCCCCCCCCCAAAAAAAAAAACAACTCAACCCCAAAGTAGCTGAATGAGTTGCAAGTCAAGCATAGAGAAGACCTTCCTTTTCACTTCCTTACGTTCAGCTTGACCATAGGAATATCCTCTCATCACTTAATGAGGCTTCTGCTCCGTATCAGCTTTTCTGTATTAAAATGATACTGATCATTAGTTAACAAATGAGATAGAACCACTGTCCAACAACCTGGAACACGAATTTCCAGAAAAAGACCATTGTTTTTCAAGAAACCTTCAACAAATCAGTAGATTTTCCTTTCAGGGCTTCTGGAACTCTGCTTTAATTTTACCTGCTTGACACAGAAAAGAATATTCCACAGTACAAGCATAATGTTTCTGAAAAGCTGCAATTATCTCTAAGTGGGCTGATTATGCAATATTCTCCCCATTTTTCATACAGGAATGAGTGATCATTCAGGAATAAGGTCCGTTGTTTCTGTCCTAAGATCATATCATGAGACTAGCCCATTTGGACATGGAATTATGCATGCAGCCATTATTTGCATTTCAGGAAATATTTACAGTATCTCAATATACATCCAGATTTCTATGAGGCAATCTCAAATGTCTGCAAACAGACTTACGATATGTCTGTTAAGATTACCAATTTGCACTTACATCTAATACTGAACCAGGCAACCCAAGTCTGTGTCAACAAAGAGGCACAGAACACACAAGGCTATTCCTCTTCTCCCAGTTCTCCTAAAGCCTAGCCAAGTTGTCCCAGTTTTGGGGTTTTGGCCAGGACAGAGCTTTGTTTTCATAGTAGGCATGAGGGAGTGGAACCTGGAGTGGGCATATGTACCTTGTTATTCTATATCATCCTACCTCATTGCCAGAGTCAGGAAAAAGGGACTCCCTCTCTTCCAGGAAGAAACTGTTGTTGTCTGGGGGTGCTCTTTGTATGATTTTGTTATTAATATCGTTGCTGTTACTGTTTGTTTTCTTATCTCATTGCTGTTTCCAGTAAATGGTGCTTATCTCAATCCACAATCTTTGCCTTTTGTGCTTCCAGCTGGGGGGAAGAGGGGAAACAATTGACAGCCTGGTTTTGGTGACAGCACTAAATTGGGGAATACTATTTCTAAACCATGACAAAGTTTATTTGGGAGAGAACTGAGAGATGAGGCAACCAGTAAGGTATCTAGATGCTTGCTTTCCTTTTTTGAACATGGTACCAAAGAGCTTTTCATTCAAATATTTTAAAAGATATTCAGGAAAATATTGTCCTTCTTTT